ACCCTGTTACCGAAACCTTTTTAGATTGACAGAGGAAGTGAAAAAACTAAGTCAAATGACACACAGGAAGTGACATCAGCAAGCCATGTGCTAGTGCCATGGGTAGACCAAAGGTAAGTCCTCTCTTTTATTTTTCATATTTTTACAATCTTTTCGGTCTTAAAAGAGTGTGGCACTCTGACCCACTCAACCCTGTTACTCATATTATCAGAATAAAGCATATTCATTTCAAAGTTATCTTTCTTTCATTAAATATCCAAGTTTGTCCTTGTCTTGAAAGTAGCATTACATGACATGCTACATCTAGCAATAATTCCTGAGGTTAAAGCTAACATTAGCATTGATTTTCAACCCTGTTACTTTCAACCCTGTTACTTTAATTAGAGTAGCAGGGTTGCATTACAGTAACAGGGTTGCATTTCCTTCTGTTCACTCTATAATCAACTGTAACATTACATGTGTTATATATATTTTAGCATGTTTTAAATGTATTACTGTATTTTCACAGGCTATAAATTAACTTTGTATGTATTGCCACTGGATAGCCTAGGGTTAGGGTTAGTTAACCCTAGCCTAACCATAACCCTAACCCTAGGGTTACCTAACCCTAACCCAACCTAACCCTAACCCCAACTACTAACCATTTAGTAGTTGGAATTATTAACTCAGAATTAACTTAAATATGTTTAAATCATGGTTAGATCAAGAGGTTAATAGAATTGTTTTTAATTGATTTCTACAGAGTTCTAGCACACCATTGAGTGCTGCTGAAAAGCAAAGGCGCTATCGTGCCAGGCGTGATGCTAATGATCAGCAGAGACAGGAGTACTTAGGAAAAGAGAGAGAGAAGTGGAGGAAAGATGTAGAGACAGGAAAGAAGAAAAGGCAAAAAGACAGAAGTAAGAGAGAGCATGCCCAGCTAAATAAATGGAGAGAGCAGAGGAGTAATGCCATGGAAAAGGTACTTGAGGGAATTAACCCCCCCCCAGTCAGCCCTGATCCTCCAGTCGACCCTCAACCTGGGACCTTAAGGTTAGGATATTTATAAGTTGAGGTTATTGAGGAATGCAAGTTTTACTGTGAAAAGGTCCATGCAGGTGAAATGGTCAAGTGACAATACACGTATGTTTATGTATTATGTTTATTTTAGGCAACGTGATCTTGGAAGAAGGAATAGGAAGGCTACCAAAGCAAAAATAAACAGAGAATTTCAGGAACTACAGGACAAGTTGAAAAAAGCAGAACAGAAGGCAGAAAAATACAAGAAACGCCTCCAAAGACTGAAAAATGACCATCCATCTCCAAGATCCAAAGTCAACAAGTTAATTCAGAATATTTCGGGCGCATCACTAAGGAGAACCTTGTTGTTCCATACAGCAGTAGCTGAGGAAGTGCGTATCAAGTACACACATTCAAGAAGAGATAGTGACAGACAAGTCATTGCAGGAATTGTCACCAACAAAATCTTAAAGAAATACAGGCTGCAGAGATTGGCGCAGCAAGTTTTTGGTTTTTCAAGAAGGAGGTGGACGAAACTGGCAAATGAAAATGTCTGCTTGTACCAACGGAAAAAACACAAGGGGAAAGCTGCCATGCTGAGATCAACAGTGAGGTTGTTCTTTTCTGACGATGTCAGCAGGATCACAACTGGAAGAAAACAAACAGTGACAAAAGAAAAAAAGAAAATGCAAAAAAGATTGCTTACGGATTCAATGAAGAACCTCCATTTGAAGTTCCTGGCTGAGCACTCCAACCACCGTCTGTCATACTCTCTGTTCTGCACACTTCGCCCCTACTGGATTGTGCATCCAACATTAGCGGATTGTGAAACTTGCATGTGTAAACAACATGAAAATCTAGGCTTCATTGCCAAAAAGCTTCATCAGATGCACATAATTGATACATATAATCTGGAGAGCCTTACAGAAGTCATCACATGTGACACTACAGACAAGCATTGCATGTATGGGGAGTGTGAAAAATGAATTTACAAGCCACTACCGAGCAACTGATCGTGTCTCCTATATTCAGTGGGCCACTGTGGACAAAGACCATAAAGATAATCCTGGAGTATCCTCTAAAATAACTCACAAAATAATTTGAATGCTCCCAAGAAGAGCTGGTTGAAAAATGTGCCATTCTTCTTCAGAATTTCAGGCGCCATCTCTTCAATCTCAGGCAGCAATATGCTTTCTTACGGGCCCTGAAGCTGAACCTCCCTGTAAATGATTGTGTAGTCCATGTTGACTTCTCTGAGAACTACGGCTGTAAATACAGCGCTGAAGTGCAAGCTGTCCATTTTGGTGCATCACACCAACAGGCCACTTTGCACACTGGGGTTTACTATGTGTGGGGGGGGGGGGTGTCTGCCCCTACCTCCTTCTGCACTATATCGGAATCCAGACGGAAGGGGCCGCCTGCCATCTGGCAACACCTGGAGCCCATCCTGGAGGAAATTCGAGAGGATTGGCCGCATGTGTCAACCATCCATTTTTTTAGCGACGGTCCCTGCACACAGTGCAAGCAGCGTGGCAATTTTTACCTCTTTTGCACCGAGATCTACAGGAAAGGGTTCACAAGAGGAACATGGAACTACTTTGAAGCCAGTCATGGGAAAGGTGCCCCAGATGGTGTGGGCGGAACATTAAAGAGAAGGGCAGACAAGCTTGTCAGTCAAGGATTTGATATCCCAATGGCATTGTCCCTATACCAAGCTCTGAGTGAGGGGACATCTAAGGTAAAGTTGTTTTACATTCCAGAGCAAGCTGTGGAGGATGCAGTAAAACAAATGCCATCTTACATCCCAGCCGTACCAACCACAATGAGGATCCATCAGGTTGTCACTCTTTCTCCTGGTAAGATTCGCTACCGCAACGTCAGTTGCATGTGTTCCTCAAATGGGAATCTTGAATGTGATTGCCAAAAAACCAAGTCATTCACATTCAATGCCACAGATGACCCAACTGAAGACCCCAACCACATAACACCAGAAGTGGTGCAGTGGCACAGCCCAGAGGTTGTGGGGAAATGGTGTGCCCTGGTGTACGACCACATCATCTACCCAGGGATCATCCAAGAGGTTAATGAGACCCACTGCCAGGTCAAATGTATGCACAAAGTGGGGTCAAACCGTTTTTTCTGGCCGTCCAAGGAAGATCTTCATTGGTATCCCTTACAGGATGTGCTGACCCTTATTCCTCCACCAGAGAACGTCACATCACGCCACATGGCCATTGCAAGGGAGGTATGGGATACTCTGGCCAGCCACGAAAAGTGAATATGTGTACTGCAGCAGGGGGGGACCCATCAAATTCTTGATTAGTTCATGTTTAGTTTAAAAGATTGGTCAGTTCCTGACTCTTTTTTTTTTTGACAAGTGGACAAATGTTTTTATTCCAATGCTGTGATTAGAGAATGCATTTTTACTTATTGCAGGTCGTTCTGGATAAAAGCATCAGCTAAATGAAATGAAATAATATAATACTATCTTAAGAAGCAACAATGTTATCAGCCAATGTTAATTATCTGTTTACACTAGAAAATGTAACATTAATCAGTAAAACTGCATCAATTAAACGTCTAAAGAATTTAAATGACACATTTTAGCCCTGAACATTAATAAATTAATCAATGTTACATAGTACATCTGTTCCTAGGCAACATGATGAGTGAGAACAATCTCATCTGTTTAAAACTTGGCAAACAGCCCGTTTATACATTTGCCACTGAATATTTTATATGAAATATGAAGTTTGTTGTTGTGTTGACATGTTTGATGTTTATCATTGATACTCATCCTGTTAATCTTTTATTAAAAAATATCTACAAAATATGATCAAACAACGTTTCTGTGATCCTGAGTATTTATTTGTCACATTTATGTCATGATCTATAAATCAAAAGCAATGTAGCCATTCAACCGTTACTCTAATTTCAACCCTGTTACTATATGATTTTCTATTAAAATAACCTTAAATTATTTTCTCAGCTCCCAATAGAGTAATTGTATATATAATGTATTGAGCAAATATTTTTAATTAAATACAGAAATGTGTAAAAGGAAACGTGTGTGAAAAGTTGGGCAAGACAGATTAAAAAAGCTACTTAAATTAATATAAAACAAGTTTTATCATAAATAACATGAGTATTTAACTTGAATGTGACTTTCTTTACATAATAGAAAAGGATTTTATTTAACAATATTTTGAAATGTACTTTTTTCAGTTGAATGAGTATTGGTAACAGGGTTGAACAAAGCATGACACACAACCAATAAAACATCTAATACAAACTATACCTTTGATGCCAATCGCTTTTTCTGATGGTTTAATACCTGTTTTTCTCAATTACATAACAAAAATATATAAAATAAAAGGTTCATTTTTCAAAAGTGTCGATGTCTAAATTGTCCTCCAATTCTGGAATGACCCATATATTATATATTTATATAGTCCTAAAGTCACAACCGGCCCTTTGAGTGCAACTAATTCTGATGTGGCCCGCGAATACATTTAGTTTGAGACCCCTGGTTTAGGTGTTCCTTTCGCGGGAATCACCAACGTGTGACTTCAAATGAAGGAGAATAGAAACCGAACGATGGAATAGTCGCCTGAAGTACAGACCTGTAGCCTCATACACTGCATTTAACAAAGGGGAAATACTTTACTTATATCATTTCGGATTTATTACATTCTCTTAGTAACACACACAAACTCGGAATTGTTTCTTTTATGATAAGGAAATGCTTTGATGACGCTTGGAAGATTAACCTTGATTCAACCGTAGGGGAGTTTTTAAGGCTACTGCTTTTAAAGGGTGCTATTCGAAATAGACGTACCTTTTACAATGAAGCAATTGTATATATGCCATGAATTAAGACTTCATATGTGTTGTTTGGGTTTTGACTGTAGCTAGCGTCTTCCATAACAAAAGTAAGCATGAATAAGTTCACCCCTAAATAAACTAGTGGTTCGTTCCGCTGAGAGGGGAGAGAGGTTCCTGTATCTTCTTCTCTGGATTGACTGTGACGCTCCGATGTTTGTGTGCTCTGTGGCAAAGAACAGAGGGGTCCACACAAAAGGAATAGCTACCCGCAACTACACCTAAATAAAGGTGAGTTTCACAAAAGTTCTGCCCTAAATACTGCTGGCACCTTCATTTTGTTAGATAACTCGCTGTTTAACAATGCAAAAATAACGGTCACGAATCAGCCAGAGCAGAGTAACGTTACTCCAGTGTGCTGCTAGCTTCACTTGTTGTTAGCAAGCATTTGTTTTTAACGGTATAAACAGACACTCGGGTCACTGTCACTGCTTTCAGCCGAACTATAATTCAATAGATATGACATTTATAATGCCTAAAGATGAACTAATACATTATGGCGAAGGTTAACTTCTGTTAACACTGTGAAAAGTTCAAAAGAGCCCTTTATTACTGAGACTGGCTGTTCTACAACACGGTTCAGTTTGCTAGCTTGGTCTGGGCAGAATTATGGCATATCAACTTAGATTTCTATGATTTGGTGTACTGAAAGGCTCTATACAGTCGCTGATAATATCACTCCCAGTACAATTAAAAACTAAAATGCTGTTGTTTTGCTTAGCTGGCTCACACTTACATGGGTTTGGTGTTATTAAAACAGCATGCAGCAGAGCTGTCGATATGCCTCAGAACTGTTAGAACCTGCGACCTGTAGCATCCTTCATTGTGTTATTCTGTGGTATGTGCCAAAGCTTTGTCCTCGTAGTTGTCACGGTGAAATTCATTTCCCCAAAAGGGATCAGCAACCTTGAAGAACCTTGTCTTTTAAAATATATTTTCATATAATTGGCAAAGTAAGACCAGTAGCATTTTCAAGGGAAACATTAGAATGGCTAGAGTCAATAGCTTCTCAAAATTCAATTTACAACGGCACAGATGCCACTTTAGAGATTATTTTGATGTGTGTGTACACAGAAGCTGATACTTATCCATATCCATCTTTATTTCCTTCTGCATTCTGACGGTTATTTTTTGCCTTGATATTACACAACTAACCAAATGGGGTTTCCCACAGGTAGTTTTGAATACTGTCTTTGGTTTCAAGTATTTTATTCTGAAAACTCAGACTAGAGATGGACACAGCAGTATTTATTTTACTACTGTTAATTGAAGTTAATAATACCTCTTTATTTGTACTGTGTGGCTGCCAGTAAACCAAAGTCATCAGAAATACAAGTCTTGAAATGTAATCTCTTTTCCCTAAAGATTACTGTAGTTTAAATGTATTACTGCAATTGATTGGATGGTTGTCTCTGTCCTTTGAGAGGACACCAATGACAAGGGGGACTGTCTGTTCAATCTGCTGTGTCAGCAATGAGCTTTAACATTTTATCAGCGTGTTTGCTAATTTATCAATAACATCACTGACTTGAAACATGGTTAAAAGAGATAGCCTCTATCCTGCACCAAACATAATGTGAACCAAACATCTTCATCCCACCAACACTACCCAAATGCATTTTTCATGGGTTTATTTATGCGACCTAATTAGAAAAAAACACTTGGTGGTAAGTGCTCTAATTCACTGCTTGTTTTTTTTCTTTCTAGAAGCACAATGGATGAAGAGGAGCAGTTTGTGAACATCGATTTAAATGACGACAACATCTGCAGTGTTTGCAAGCTAGAGACGGATACAGGGACCACGTCTTTCTGCCATGTGTGCTTTGAACTCAGCATTGAAGGTAAGAAAAAGAGGGCGACTATTGCTTATTTTCTCACTGACTTAAAGGGCAAACAAAGTGATAGGAGGGCCTCTTCACATACAGCTGAGATATTTGTGCTAGTACACATTTCAAAGCAACCTCCAGGTAACGGTATGCAGCGTAGCTCCTCCATGCTTTTTTAACCCACAGCTTGACCTCTTAATTCTTTTGAACTCCTTAACATACACACACAAACCTTCAGAGAGGTCTGCCTGATGGGATTCAGCTTTAATATTCATCTTCATCTCCAGCAGTAAGATCATCCCCGGTTTTAGCTGTGAGGAGTTTCAAAAATGTGGATCACAAAATAAATCACTTTTGCAGAAAGAAATGTTTTTGATCATAAGTTCCCATCATACCAAATATACCACGAGCTGTAATACTGCCTCAGAACATTTGCTATTTGTTGATGATATGATTTCCCTTCTCAAACACTTATTTGATCCTCTCCAGGAACAACAGATAATGTATCTGTGCAGGGAAAAGGGCCTGTAGGACCATGGCCCCTCCAAAGCAGGCCGCTGTGATTCTCCTGTTTGATGTGCCACTCTAACTCAAGAGCATGCATTTGAAGTGTTTTCATCTCTTAATTAATGGGCTACTTCAGGAGTGGCCAACCCGCGGCTCACATACACACACACGGCCACACAGACACACACCCTCCCGGTCCTCCCAACAGCCAGTCGGTGCCTGCCGGTGAGCGTGGAAGTGTGGTCTGCCACAAGCGGGCGACAGGAGCGGGGCTGTGAGCATCAGCTTGTAGATGGTATTTTAAACTCGATGCGCTCTGAAACTACGGGGCGGCCGAGGAAAAAAAATACACATGCGTTAATCGCGTTAAAATAATTAGTGGCGTAAAACATTTTTTATTATCGGTTATCGGTATCGGTCTTGAGAAGCAGGAAGTTATCGGTATCGGTTTCAAAAAACCAATATCGTGCATCCCTAGTAATAACTCAATATAATGTTGTCAAATCAAAACGGTAACAATTTGCAGTTGTATATGTGTATGTGAGAAGGCCTGCTCCCGGAAAGCTGGCTACTGGCACAGAAGGGCTCCCGAATTTGGTGATTCGCGGTAAAGAAATAAACAAGAGAGAAAGTGCATCTCTGTCAGCAGAGCTTCTGTCAGTCAGAGGGTTAGGTCAAAGTTGAGATTTATTTTTAAATGACGGTCATGAATGTGTGTGAGAGATACAGGCAGAATAAAGGCCAGGCATATTTTTATTAAATGATGTGCCCTTTCATGCATCTGAGCCCCTTCCACATCCTCTGCACATTTCAAGAAGCAACAGGCATAGTAAGATAACTACTTTTTTCAAATGTTTTTAACTGAGAGTTTGTGTGTGAGACACAATATTAATGGTTGACTATAACTGGCCTCTGGTCTTAATACTGGTAGGAGAGGTTTAAGTCCATTTCTGTCAATATCATGCACTGTGACATTTATAGGAAGTGTGTGTGTGTGTGTGTGTGTGTGTGTGTGTGTGTGTGTGTGTGTGTGTGTGTGTGTGTGTGTGTGTGTGTGTGTGTGTGTGTGTGTGTGTGTGTGTGTGTGTGTGTGTGTGTGTGTGTGTGTGTGTGTGTGTGTGTGTGTGTGATAGAGAGGGGCACACAGAAAGGCTGAGAGCAAAGGAGAGAGAGAGAGAGGTCGAGGACATACACCCAGCATGTGTGTATGATGTGGCTCTTTGCAGTAACACAGTAAAATGATTGGCTCTTTACCTCTGATTGGTTGGCCACCCCTGGGCTACTTGAAGAAGAATGATAATTCTGAGAGGATTAGATATGCCTCTCATTTGGCACTCGTCTCATAGATCCACAAAGGCTCTTTTTTCCTGCAAGAAGTGTGTGTGTGCTTATATCTACACAGCAGAATTGTGTACACCTCTTAAAAACAGCACAATAAAGCTGACTAAGACCTCCCAGAATGGTATATCATTCTGTTGACAGCGGGATAAAATGCATATGCATGAAAACTGTTTTGTTATTGTATAAGGAAGCTGAGTGTGTATTGATTAATCACTCTGCTCTTTGTGTGCTGTAAAATATTTATATTTATTAGCCACAGTCTCTTTCATGCATTGTCATAGAAAAATGTAAGTTGTTTTAGTAAGTGCTTGCAACAGAGCTCCCAGAGAGCCGGGTATAATAGCAGGGGAGGGTGTTCAGATATGTGTACAGCACCAAAACACAAGTTTTACTCGTTGTGGTTCCTGTGGCATGAGAAATACTTTGAAACAATAATATTAGGGCCGGGACTCGATTAAAAAAATTAATCTAATTAATTAGAGGCTTTGTAATTAATTAATCGAAATTAATCGCATTTTTAATCACATAAATATTTGACCTAAGAACAGTGAGAAGCAATTTTTTTCACATGGATTTTAGTATACCATTAGGCGCATTCACACCGCAGTACTTTTCCCACAAAGGTTCATGAGAACTTAGTTCATGAGAACTCTTTGAACCTGGGGGTGGATTAGGCAAATGAAGCCGCTGACGTCACTTCTTCTTCTTCTTCTTCTGCATTGGGTTTACTGGCAGGCAGCAAACCACTTCACGTCGTATACTGCCGCCCAAAGTCCCCGGAGTTGGGGACTGGCTTCAGTAGAAGCTGCTGGGAGTCCCAGCAGCCTTCCGAGTAAATCGCCAGAACGCCGACACCTCCTCATCTCCACCGCTCCCATGTTTTATTTTGTGTTGCCATAAGTTAGTCTCTCTGCGTTTCTGCGCTGGGCTAATGCTAATAATGCTAATGCGAGGATAATACAATTCACAAAACTTTTTGGGAGTTTTACGGGGCGTGGTTTGCAATCCGCCCAGCCAATCAGAAATATAGCTCTTTTCTCACAAGAGAGCCTTACGAAAGTCCCTGCTCTCTAGCAGCTCTCTGCTCTCTAGCAGGGACTCTCGTGGGGGTAAAAAGGTTCTCATGAACTAATTTTAGTACCTGCTCTTTTTGGTGTGAACGCGATAAAAGAGGCTAACGTCCACGCTAGCTGCTATATGTTTTGCATTGAGGTGATACTTGAGGCTTGATGTGCTGCGGTGATATGCGAATTCCTTTTGCATAATTTGCACACAACCGTGCTCTTATCGACGCTTCCATCCGTCCGTTTTTTAAAACAACATTTCCCACTGTTGTTCACTGTGGTTTGTTGTTGTCTGAAGTCATGAACGTTAGTTGGTGCTCCAGTATAATCGGTACGCCTGAAACTCATCCAGTGAGAAACGTTCCGCGGTGCAAAAATAAGTACGATTAAAATGCGTTAATTTTTTTAACGCGTTAATTTTTGTGTAATTAATTAATCTTAATTAACGCGTTAAAGTCCCGGCCCTAAATAATATTTAAAAATACAGAGACAACTACAATCCACAGAGCTCCTATAGCTCAGAAGTCAAGAGAATAAGTACTCAGTTGAGTAGTCTTTCACTATGGCCCAACTGTGTACACACACTGCTTAAAGAATGTGGCCCAGACCCCCTCGGAACGTTGTCTGAGGTTTCAGATCTTGTTTAATGTTTGAGCATTCACACCTGTACTTAGAGCTGTCCACTTGTGATCGGATTACCCAGTACACATGTTAATACCAGGTCTCACCAGAGCCTAACACTTTCTATTTCTTGAAAACAAACTGCCATATTAGATTATGATCTGTGTTATATACAGTTTTGGGGTAGTTACGCATTACAAGTTACACACTCCTAGTTACTAGGAAATGCCTTACTTTACTAAATTACTCACTGCTGAAAGTAATTAGTTACACTACTTGTTACATTTCTTTTGCCTTTACCTTAAACCTCATGTATGCCCAGATCAGCACAAAATCACATGGACAATACTGAACAAATACTGAACAAATACCTCTGTTTTCTGCTCTTTTCTTTAGCTCAGTTTCTATCATAACACTGGCCCAGGTAGCTTGCAAAGGTCTTTCTGTCTGATGGTGCCCGTCCTCATCCATGAACTTGCGGGTGAAGCTCAAGTGAAAATGGACGTTTGATTTATTTGTCTGTCCTCCAGTTATGCAGATAGTTGAAAACGTGAAAGTAACGCGGGTAACAAGATTCAAAACCTTTATTTATACAGATAAAACCCATTGAGATCATAGACCTCTTTTACAATGGTGACCTGCTTCAATTAGTTCCAAACATTAATACAAACATGACAGAAAACAAAGGACATTATATGATACTACAGTTTGTATACTAGTAGCATTTACAGACACCAATATTTTCTGATTGTATAGCGTCTATCCTAGCTTTAAAAACATGAAATGGAATCAAACTGCTTAGCTTCCATTCCTTTTGTAGACTGTTCCATGCTAGCGGCGCTGCGCATCTAAAAGCTGTATTTCCTAATACAGTCCTAGCAGTTGGCACATGTAATACAACCACAGCTTTAGATCTCAGGCAGTAGCCATTTACAATACGCTGTGAGATCAGGGAACAGATGTAAGACGGAAGTTTCCCTAACATTGCTTTATAAATAAAAAGATACCAGTGATTTAGCCGCCGTACAGTAAGTGAAAGCAACCCTGCCCTTGTAGATAATTTGGTGCTTAGTAAATGTTATACAATTACTGCTGGTATCAACAGTAATCTGATTACCCCCAACACTGGTTATATATATATATAGTATTTAGTAGCTGGACACTATAAAAACATTTCATGTTTAAAAGTAAACAAAGCTTTCAGAGATATTTTACAAATATGGTTATTATTATGACATAATAAAAGGCGGGGGTTGCTTGTCTGGCTCAGTCGGGCCTCCTCGTTTGCTTTATTTATTGTTTCTTTGGAAAGTTTTTCAAAGTTGCTCTGTTCAGGTATACAAATTCACCTGGTGGGGCTTTTAAATAAGTATGTATGTCTCCTAAGCTTTTTGTTGTTATGGAGACACTGAGGCCCCCTAGATATTCCTGGTTCTGTCAGACAAGACTTTCATACTGCATCAATACCATTGTGTGCTTTTA